CTCTCTCTCTCTCTCTCTCTCTCTCTCTCTCTCTCTCTCTCTCTCTCTCTCTCTCTCTCTCTCTCTCTCTCTCTCTCTCTCTCTCTCTCTCTCTCTCTCTCTCTCTCTCTCTCTCTCTCTCTCTCTCTCTCTCTCTCTCTCTCTCTCTCTCTCTCTCTCTCTCTCTCTCTCTCTCTCTCTCTCTCTCTCTCTCTCTCTCTCTCTCTCTCTCTCTCTCTCTCTCTCTCTCTCTCTCTCTCTCTCTCTCTCTCTCTCTCTCTCTCTCTCTCTCTCTCTCTCTCTCTCTCTCTCTCTCTCTCTCTCTCTCTCTCTCTCTCTCTCTCTCTCTCTCTCTCTCTCTCTCTCTCTCTCTCTCTCTCTCTCTCTCTCTCTCTCCCCCTCTCTCTCTCTCTCTCTCTCTCACCCTCTCTCTCTCTCTCTCTCTCTCCCTCCCTCTCTCTCTCTCTCTCTCTCTCTCTCTCTCTCTCTCTCTCTCTCTCTCTCTCTCTCTCTCTCTCTCTCTCTCTCTCTCTCTCTGCTTGTCTATACAGAGTACAACATTTAACCCTTCAATATATATGAGCAGTAAATAAGTGTTTATATTCTTATGTAAAGTAATGACGACATGTTTTCACGTGTACAAGACTCTCATATTACTCTTCCGATTCCTTTTCATCAAGCATCAAGTATTGCTACTTCTATTGTTCCATTAAATAACATTACTTAAAAACAACCATATTAGTTTTATCACAGCTACAACCAAGGTCTTATTTTTCTTCTAGTTTTTATATATGTAGAACCAGTCAGTCACTGGTTTTGTAATCAACGAAAACAATGCTGTATTATTTCGGTGTTTTAATATTCTACGATATTAATGAATTGTATTGCCTATTTTGCACACACAAACATTAATTCACAATAAAAAGACATTCAGTAATAAACAATAATGAATCTTTTGTATGATATGAGAATGACGCTGCCACGATTATGCACGCTGCCTAATGCTGGCGGCTGCTCAAACCCGCTTAAATTCAAGTTTCCAAGGCCAAAATTTTTTTATATTTATTTTTGTGTGTTCCAATAAAAATACGCTAAGAATTATTAAAAACTCAAATTTGGAGAAGCTAATATACGACATTTAACCCTTCAATATGTCTTCAAAGAGACCCTGATGCAGAGAAAGTGAGCTATACTTCCAAGCAAAGCAATGTCACCATCTATCCAGGAAAAGGGTGAACTTCCATGTCCCGCACCAACAGTCCCGAGAGGCCGGACTCAGAGAGGCACAAATCAATAGTATTTATTATGGTGATAAATACACTGCAACAGTATTTATTTAGTTATGATAAATATACAACTGTACTAATTTACAAGTGCTGAAGACAGACACGTAAAGCCAATCAGCGTGCCTTTGTAAACAAATGAGTATGAACCGAGTCAAGCGGTGTTCAGTGTGGGATTCTTTTTTCAGGAAAGGATTCTTTAGATAATATTTTATCAACCTGGCACCAAAATGATCCTGAATTATAAGGAGAATTGTGGTGGAATTGTGCAAGAAGTGTTAAGGAAGCTTGTGGGAGTTAGGGAGGGAGCAACCCACCCATGCTATCCCCTACCCTTTGCCAGCTGTCTTCTAGATAAACATCTGCCTTCCACACAGTAAACTCCACACTTATATGTTCTTATTTTTATCTTTTAAGCACTGTGCAGAAAGGTTCTTATTTTTATCTTTTATAGTATCAGTCCTCATCCGAAACCTGTGGACCAGATGCATTTCTGGTTTTTAATTTTTCGGTTTTCAGAAATTTATTAGGTTAGGTTTTTTTTTTTTTTCTTTTTATACAGGGACTCCCAGCCCACCTGGCACAGGTCACTGACCCACATTGGGGCCTGGGTTGTACATTAATATTACACACACACACAATTATAGGTCTAGGTCGTGGTTTCTCACTTTTGATCTTTTTTTTTTTCATTCTGTATTTCTTTTATTATTATTATTACTATTATTATTTATGTATATGCATATTATTATTATTTTATTATTACAGTATTATTGTTATTATTGTTATTCTTATTTTTATTTTGTGTATTTTTATTAAAATTTTATTTACTATGAATAATTATTATTATTACTGTATTATTATAATAATTACTATTACATTTCACCCCCAAGGTCCCGACGTGGGTCAGTGACTCAGCCCTGCAGGGCTGTTACAAAAAAATTGCTCCACAAAAACTTCCCAAAGCTACAGAGCTGGATAAGGTTGTCAACCTGATATACAGTCTTATTTTATCTTTACAGACAGTAAGTATACAGTTCTTATTTTATATTTATAGTAATTGCAGCATACAGTTTTAATTTTATCTTTATAGTTCAGCAGTATACAGCTTTCTCATTCATAAGACAAATTCAGTGGTTACTCACCGGTACATATAACACTTATAGTAAACAATCATCTTGATGACAACAGCGGTTGACAACCACCCTGTGTCTGAATTTTCAACCCAAGAGACTTCTGTTTCATATTTTTTATTATTGATGTAATGTATTCTTTAATAACCTTGAAAAAGACCTAGTTGTTGGAAAAGTAGCAATAACATAACACAAACTATTTTTTTCAAACAGTCCAGATACAGAAGATTCCCCTCGCCCCATATATGCGCATACAGCATATTTAGCATAGGTTCTACTGTATATTGAAAGTTGCAAATCGATGAGCCTTCTCACATAATAACTTCTCGGAGTATCACTTTTCCCTACCCAAGTAAGATTTTAAATCACTGGTTTAGTATACAGAAACTGAAACCCAATTTAGCCATTAAGTTCTGTTGTTAGTTTGAGGTCTGTTGTAGATATGGCCCATTAGACCAGTCCCCTCACAGGTACACTTTGACAAACAGAAGGGATCAGCAAACTCCGAAGTGAAGAGGATCAACAAAGCAGGAGGAAGAATTAACACCAGAGGAAGAGGTAGAAGAGGAAGAGGCAAAATAATGCACGAGGAGAAAGAGGCACACACACGAGAGGAAGAGGTGTTAAAATAGAGGAAAAAGAGGTATTAACAGAGGAGGAAGAGGCATTAGCACCAGAGAAGAAGAGGCATTAGTACCAGAAAGAGAAGATGCATTGAAACATAGGAGGAGGAAGAGGCATTAGTACCAGAGGAGGAGAAAAGAGGCCATTACACAGAGGAGAAGAGGCTAGTACCAGAGGAGGAAGAGGCATAAACTCTAGAGGAGGGAGAGGCAAATAAAATGCTAGAGGAGAGGAGAGGCAAATGCTAGAGGAGGAGAGGCATCAGTACAGAGGAGGAAGAGGAAGAATTCCTAACAACCACGAGGTTCTCAAGTCACCCTCAACCGTGACCATCAGGTGAGCACACCTTTCATTATTTTTGGGCTTTGTTAACTATATTCCTTGTTAGTATACAACATTTAAGCATTTCTACTTGGCCCTTGTACAGTACTGCTTAGTCCCCAAACTGGTGAAATTGAAAGGAGCCCAATTCTCAAATTTTAAAACAGGCTGAACTCTGTTTGTTTGTCCTGTTACATCAATAAAGGCAAAAAAGCTATATCATCCAATTCTGATTAAGTTTTTCTTCATCAGATGAAATGATTTCAAAACCATGTATGCGAATTTGAGATGTGTTAGGAGCAAAATCATATTCAGAACAGCAACCAAAGCGAATCTTGTACGCAACACTTGATGATTTATGTAACTTAAAGTCAAAATGGTATAAATAAAATTTTATGATTGCAACAAACAGTGGTTTATAGGAATAGTATTTTTTTCCCTTGCGAATAAGAGTAAAAGTTAACGGTAGGAATTCAGTACTGCCCCCAACACTTGTATCACTCTCGATATCTCTATCCCGAATTTACTATTGCTTTATTCTAACTTCAATATTCCAGGATGTTCTGTATTCATCTCTCAGCTCTTGTACTCCACTCCTATCCCCTGTTATGTGTCATAATTCTGGAGAAATATTTAATTCCTCAATTCATGGTAAAGGATTATATTTGGACCATTGTGTTGTAGACAAGAGCGAATTTTGTTCCTATTAGGATACAGTGATGCTTTTGTTGTCAAATTTTCAAATTGGTCTATTGGTAGTAGTTATTCTGTATAATATATTGCATTATTTGGTTTTGTGTATTCATGTATTTTTAGTGAAAAAGCTTAAATATTAATTTCCCAGTTTCTTGCATAATGCAGGTTAGAGCAAGACTTCAATCTGTCATTTGTTTTCATAAACTGTAACACCAGATGAGAATGCTGTAGTAGGTTATTAGGTATTAATATTTTATTTAAACCAATATTTTTGCTCACAGGAGACATACACAGCAGGTGATGGGCACAGACACTGCATTTAGACAAAAACTAGCGAGGAGAAAAGATCCAGCAAGCACGCAGGACTTTAGCAGTATCACGCAGAACACCAGTCTCAGAGCCAATAACATACATGAACGCAGAGGCATTACTGGAGGAATCGAAGGTTAGTTTGAAGAAATAGCTTTATGCATTGTCTTGGCGACATTGCCTTTTTCTCTGGCATCTGGAACATTTATGTCCTAAAACTGATTTTATTCAGCAAATATCAGATGATTTTATTCAACAAATAGAATCCCTTTATACTGGCGGGGTTATAAGAATCTCCCAATAAGTCAGAATAATTAGTGAAGAGTGGTTATAAGAGTGTGGGTTTTATATACATCTTTATATTCAATGGTTTTTGTCATTTCTCAACATTTTCTACACTTTAATTACACCATTTTCCCAATCATTTCCTCTGAGGTTCTGTTGCCCTGATTCACCCCATGTACACACACTAAGAAAATTATCCACCCACACTGTGTGAAACAATATGACACCACAAGCAAAGATTTTTGACAATCCTACCTACAGTAGGTAACACAGGTCATATTGATCATTTCGAAACTCACTGTGCATTTGAAGGATGTTCTTGCATATTTAAAACAAATTTTCGTGCATTTTTAAAGTGCAGTTTATTTATGAGTTTGACTGTTAGTTTATGACTTTTTATGATCAATCCCAGCAGACCAAGGGCAACTTGGGAACACCTCTCGGAGTGCGAGTTGGGAGCGGCACTATTGTCAGGGGGCTACGTTCAGATCAGCTCTTACTTCACAAGATGCAGAACGCCCACAACACCCACACTAATACAAGTCTCAACAGAATAGAAACATTCACAGAAAAAGTTAGTACAGTATATTCTTTAATTTGTTTGTAGTGTTTAGCTTCATTTTATGCAGAAGCCATGTGTGGATGTTTGCAGAATGTAGCCACATTTTGTCTTTATTTTTTATTTTAAAAATGGATATTTGGTGTAAATACTAACACAGTACAATATTCACTTTGTATATTATGTATGCAAGTGGAGGATATGAGCAAATGTTTTAATATTTCTGCTGGTACCTTAACTCTGGACTGTCTTTTCTACACATCATAAAACACTATTACAGTGGTCCCTCGGTTAACGAACGCCTCGGTTAACGAAATTTCAGTTACCGTATATCTCGGCTTATAAGACGAAATTTGAACATTAAAAAAATCTGCCCAAAGTTAGGGGGTCGTCTTAAGCAACAAATATAAAATTCTTACATCTTAAATATTGTGGTTTACTGTGTCAGAGTGGTGATGGAAACATCGTAAGCCACTCACAAAGTCCTACCAGTAATTATTTTATACTGAAACTTACGTTTGGCAAGCTGGATTCAAATTAAGATTACCGGTATATTAAAATAATAAAAATGTATTATAAACCTGTCTAACATACCGTAAAAGAGAATTATACCCCTGTAATAAACACAGCTATCATCACACACCCCTCCCATTTGCCAGTGAGGAGACAAGAAAGGGAAAGTGACCGCGAGATTGGGCTATTTTTAGCCGTGGAGGTGGTCAGTAATGCATATCGGTATATTTACTGATAATAATACTTCTATAAATAATTAATTTAAAATTTATTTTTTTACAAGGAATATTCAGTAAATGACTGCATTAATTCTTGAAACTACTGACAGTTAAATACAGACGCTTAAGTGACGTCACTAGTGTTTACACTACACCAGCTGGTAACATTTGATGCCATTACTTGAGGTGAATTGGCCTTATTTTAAGTAACTAACCATAAATAAATACAAAAAGTAAAAAAAAGATCAAAAGTGAGAAATAATATACTGTATGTATGTTGTGTTGTCAAAGTTAGAGGAACAATTCAAACTGCAATTGTGTGTAAATGAGGCAGAAAGTCAGGTCAGCGCTGAACCTGGGACTTGGTCACAATTTTCGTGATGCCATATGGCAGCAGGGTCTACCATTAGACAACACATTATGCTTCCAATATCTTCCCAGGCGGTAGTATCTACCTGTTTGGTAGCTGCCTACTACCTACACAATTTTTAGTAATATTACTTTGATACATGATAAATTAGACAATGAAAATAAACATCAAATTTAATTACCAAGACGCTTCCCATTGGCAGCTGTAAGAAGAGGGGGAGATGGGCTATTTATAGCTCGTCTTTGTGTCTAAAGTGACCAGTACCCTAATGCACCATAAATACGGTAATTCATTTAACATTTATTTTTTGTACATATATTTTGTTGTATATATATATATATATATATATATATATATATATATATATATATATATATATATATATATATATATATATATATATATATATATGTATGTATATATGTGTATATATGTATGTATATATGTATGTATATATGTATGTATATATTTTATGTATGTATATATTTATGTATGTATGTATGTATGTATGTATATATGTATGTATATATGTATGTATGTATGTATGTATGTATGTATGTATGTATGTACAATCCGAAAGGGATGATGGATTAGTTGGAAGTGTATCCGTAAAGAAAAACAAATATTTACTTTATACGTTACGTCAATGTTTGGCAACTATAGTTTCCGTCACGACAATATTCTCATTAGGCTGGGTCTGGGAGTGAAGCTCTGCTCACTACATTGAATATTATTTATCACTACGCGTCAAAGAGTACATTACAAATCATACTAGCATAAAAACACACTGAGTGAAGCTCTGTAATTATCTCAATATTAAGTAACACTAACCACCGATTTCGAAGCATAACTCACGGGACACAAACATATGGGGATTGGTGGTTGATCGGGCCAGGCCGGGGCTTTGCGGGGCGGGGCACGGAACGGCGGGGCGGGGCAGGGATGGGAGGAAGGGTAAGGAGGGTGAGGTGAGGATTAGGACAGGGAGGAGGATGTAGGTTAAAAGACATGTATGTATGTATATATATATATATATATATATATATATATATATATATATATATATATATATATATATATATATATATATATATATATATATATATATATATATATATGTATGTATGTATGTATATGTATGTATGTATGTATGTATGTATGTATGTATATGTATGTATATATGTATATATATATATATATATATATATATATATATATATATATATATATATATATATATATATATATATATATATATATATATATATATATATATATATATATATTATGTTTGTGTAATAAATGTATGTAGTAAGTACATACCGGTAACCTTTTTCACTCAAATCCTAATGAAACACCACAATTAGAATACGGTGGTTGCTGTTGAACCACCTGTTGTATAAATAGTCGGAACACAGTCACACCACCGAGACGAGGGAACACTCCCACCACCGATCGTCCGTATAAATGAAAGAAAATACTTGCAGTGTGTTTAATATGTTACAGTATATTATAAATAAATAAATAAACAAATAAATCGGTAAATCCATTTCAAGTAAATGGAAAAATTTTACTCGACACAGACATTAGTTCCAGTTACCGGTAAATAGCAGACGCTTCAGTGACGTCACTAGTGTTTACACTACACCAGCGGGTAATATTTGATGACATTACTTGAGGTGAATTGGCCTTATTTTAAAAAACCAAGGATGGTTGGTAAAGGACTACTGAGTCAGTGGGTAAGTGTCACATCTGGGGTACTGGTCTTATACAGCAAATAGAGCTCAAAAGCTACTTTTTAATTGGATATTTGGGGGGGCCGTCTTATGCACCCCGACGCCTTATAGGCCGCGATATACGGTAACGAAAAAAATTCGGTTAACGAATTCCTTACGAATTCCTCTCTACATGTTTTCGCTTGCTCATCAGCTGGAATATTAGTCCGCCAATACAGTAATCGGTTCTTAGGCTTAAATTCGTTCCCATTTGAGTAAATATTCCAAATATATTTTCCAAGTTTTATATTAAAATTTTTAGTCATTTTAACAATTATTTAACATAATTGAAGTACAAAAAACTAGTTTTTAGTGCGCCAAACAGCCACTTGACTCACCCAGCATGGCGTCAGTTTATGTCTCTGTTCAGTGGAGATAACATCTTGCTTGAGACTCTCTTGAACATAAACTATTTTTACAGTACAATTATTGGTCATTCTGAAATTAATTTAACATATTGACAATATATAGTGCAGTGCAGTGTTGATATAAAGAAAATAATGTTGAATTACACCTAGTGAACTTAAAATTTTATGGGTGAAATTACGGCATGAAGCATGGGGTGATTTCTCTTCCACCCCCACTTCCTTCTCTTCTCCCTTCTCCACCCCCACTTCTAATTCCCATCATCATCATCAACCAGGAGCCTTCTACATACACATCTTAAAGTAAGTGTACTTTACTGCATTTATTTTTACTTTGTATGTAATTTTCGGTGAGTTTAAACCAATTACCCAAAATCCCATTGAAACAATGGTTTTGGTTAAAAAAATTTCGGTTAACGAACGACCTTCTGGAACAAATTGTGTTCGTTAACCGAGGGACCACTGTACTTCCCGTTTTGAGATTTCTGAACCCAATGATCCACCCCACACAAAAATGGACAGGAATTAGATAATTTAAGAAAGGACGATATAGTGGATTATGTTAAGCCGTACTAGGCTGTACAGTACTGTACATAGAAAATTAAAATGAAGAATGAGTTACAGGAGAAGAGGAGTGAAAGCCTGGAGGTGAAGAAGGAACTCAAGAGATGGTTGTATGCTTCCTACTTTAATATATGGCAATGAATATGGTCGATGAATGGAGTAGTATTCTTCAAAATTCAAGTTAGAGAGATACACTGTAGTTACCCTAAGGATACAAGGTGATAGTTGAGAGTGTGTATGTGAACATTGTATCAGGTACATTAGGTACTGTGAAGGAAAATGGCCTGTACATTATGGGAGAGGATGATGGAATGTTTATTTACAGATGTATAAAGTTTTGGATACTGAATACAGTAAGTAATTTTTTTTTAATGTCTTGTCCACTTCATTTTTTATTTGATATTTACCAGTATTATTTATACAATTTTAAATCATAAAAAGTTTTACCACTGATGACATTTTGCTGTTGATCAAGTTGATAACCTTTAATAAAAATCACCCAATTGTAATGATGCAAGAAAGACTTCATGGATGGGATAATTTACATGAACTTGGGAAGGAACTAAGAACATGTAGAAACATAATTAGACAGAACAGATGCATTCATATATGTACAATACAGTAATGTATCTGGAAATAAATAGAATGCAACTGAGTAAGGTATTAACTCAAATTTATGAGCTTAACCTCCACAACAAAGAGCTTTAGGGATGTCACTCTGATTATATATGCCAATTTTGAACCTTATGGCTCAATCTGTTCATGAGATATTGACAGTACTGACCGCCCTAGCCATGCCAGTCAGAGTACGGTAATACTGTACAGTCATGGAAAATTTTGTGAAGACCAGAGTAAAAATAAACTATGGGGTACAGTATTAGATTTCAATGTAGTGGGATTTGGGGAGGATTAATGAAAGAGAAATGAAATTGGATTGTTTTTTGTTTTTGTTTTTCTTGATAGCAATTGCTGCTGAATGTAAGATATGGTGAGAAATGAATGTATACATGCACACACATACCTACATTGTATGTTCCCTTAATTTTTTTCTTTCTTTCATTCTGACAGTTGTAAAGGAGTTGTTCTGATATACTTCCCTTCTACGTGTATAATAAAATGACTTCTTGAAGCATTTATAGGTCCACTAAATTTTAATAATTGGGGTTAAATAAATGAAAACACTTGTACAACACAAGATAACTTGTACAGGTATATCCCAATAACCGACACATATGGGGGACCGGGAAAAGTCGTTGGTTAGTGAATCAACGGTTACTGAAGCAATTAATCCCATAAGAATATAACAAATTCTGGGGGTTAGGGACCGGCCACCCTCCAAAAACTCCCATCTACTCTTGTTATATCTCTGTTGTGCACACTATAAAGCAAGAAAATTAAACAGACATATAAAGCAAGCATAATAAGCCTTAAATAATCAATGTAAAGCATAAATTGGGACTTACATGTATTTACCTGTGTTGAGGATGGTAGACAGGCTAAGGTGGCAAGTTCAAGTCTCTACCAAACTTTGCTGGTCCATCACCACTCTTAGTATGCCTTATCACATCACATAAGAGGGGCAGCACAAGAGGCACTATCACTGGGGCATTTTGGCATGACACACGAAGTCGGAAATTACAAAAAAAATCACAAAGTCAGAGACACATGGGAAGTGTAAACAATAGCACAGAGGCAGGAATGAGCAAGAGGCAGCACCCATAGCCCTCTCATAGCAAGAATTCGCACCATGCCACCACAACCCAAATTCAAATCAACTCTGCCACTCCTCTCCTGATTGTCGGATCTCCAGGGTATCAACGAAACTTGTGTAGTATTTCCCCTAAATGTAACCCGTTTTTGGGGTATACTTGTTTTCAAAATATACTGAATCTCAAGAATTCTCTCTAAATAGTCATAATTTTGTCACCTGAAGAGAGAAGAAAATGAAGTGAAACAATAAAAATATATAATACACCACCATGAGATGAATGTCCAGACAAATTAGCTTCAGGAGGGAAAGTAATAAACAATGAGGCAAGATGTGGGTACAGGTATTTCTATTAATTTTGTGATGCATATCCTGTTGCTGTACTATATGCACTTGCACCACTGTCCCCATCACTTTTTGAGGATTCTGCCACCCATGATACATCTCACACAAAATGGAAGGAGAGTAAAGAAAATTTAAAATAGAATGACTATGGCTGCACTTTTTTATTCTTGCTCACATAACCAGGAAGATATTTTCTTAATTATCTAATGGCCAAAGCATTATGCGGTAGCAGCCATGTTGCAGGGAAAGATCCTATGTCATTGAAGACGACATCCAGCCTTAGGAAGTATTGGGTAAAAAATGTCTAAATATCACCTTGCTTGTATTAACAAGATGTGGTAAAATAAATAGGAATGCCAAACATCAGAAAATAAAAATAAATGTATGTAGTTTTCATTCCGTTAAAGGTATTGTCTTTGCTCCATTCCCATTTTTTGTGTAGGATGGATCAAGTGAAAGACACCTAAAAGGGAGGAAATAGCAAGAGGGGAGGAGTGCAGAAAAAAATGAGATAAAGCAACAAACAAGTGACACTGGATTATACAGAGCCTCTTGATTTATTAAATACAGGTATATGAAATTTATCTGATTTTCAGTAAAACTTAAAAATTCTACAATGCATTCTAATGATGTCAATTATTTTCTTCTGCAGAATGTTGGAGGTCACGAGTCAGTGAGGGGTGCCAGCTCCGTCGTATCTCTCACATCTCAGCGGGGATTGACAGTCAGTATAAAAAACAACATTGCTTCACATCATTCACAACACAATGGTATGTATGATTTAGTAGGCTGTTCAGTTCAAGTTTTGTTATTTATCATTGTTGATTGACAGAATTTACCAAGAACCAAGGATGATCTTAGCTTAGATTAATTTTTATGGCTAGTACAGAGTACAAAGTATTGGAGTTTGGAAAACAGAAGTATTGTTCAGTTATATGTTTATGTATTATAATATGAATATTAATAGAAGTCTGACAAAAGTGAAGTAGAACCCTGAGTTCAACAAGATACTGTACTGTACTGGGTAATCAAGACACCTCTTGAATGTGGACTATTTTTTTCTCAGGTCTGTATGTATATTATGTATGCTGGATTATATATTATGTATGTATATTATGTATGTGCTCCATTTATGTATTATTCATTCAGCCTAGCTAGCAGCGTGTGGCAATGTTATTACCATATCCCACATGCTTAATTAATGTGCCTGGCGACGTATGGAAGCTGCTAATGTATCACTTGCCATACGTCGTCTATAGCAGTTGACCAGGAGCCTAGCTGAGGAGTGCTACCCCCCCTCTGTGTACATACTCTTATCCAGTAAACCGAACCTACAAAACTATACAGGTGTTTGTATGTATATTATGTATGCTGGATTATATATTATGTATGTATATTATGTATGTGCTCCATTTATGTATTATTCATTCAGCCTAGCTAGCAGCGTGTGGCAATGTTATTACCATATCCCACATGCATATATGCATACATAATATACATACAAGGTCCATACATTTTACTGCAACTTTGCCTTAAATATTAAGAAGATAATTTAGACCTTTGCTGATCATAAAATGCAGACATTTTTAACTGTCAAACACCACAAAAGTCTTAATATTCAGAACACTCGACAGCATGAGACACACACCTACCAGTCACAAGTAACTTGTTCATATAAGTGGCATTGATAGTCTGTAGCTAAGCATGCATTGGGCAGTGTATCAGAGTTCAAACATTATGACCATGGTAGGAGGGACTAACTAACACACGTACTGTAGTCGGTGCTGGAATTTTCTTCTTGAAGCAAATATCACTTAAGGTTAGAATAAAGAGTCCAAGTCAAGCATGTTGAGTATAGCCCTGGTCAGATATAATTTTTTGTACTGTATATAATTCTTTATATTGAAAGTTTAAATATTTTTAATAAATTATCTGAACTAAGATGTTTTTTGTGTCCATATTTGCAAAAGAGGACACCTCATTAAAGCTGACACTTAATGAAATTCCCAGTGATGTCTTGATCACTGTGGTTTGATGGGAGTACAAAATTCTTTCCAAAATCTTTTTGTAGCTAGGAGTAAGGATATAACGTACTATTTTCAGGATCTGCACCCAAACATAACATAAACCAACTGTGATGTCATCCTACCTACAGTATTTTACCCACAGCCTGTCAAACCCAGCTTATCTTAACCTCTTTCGGGTCTGAGTCTAGTTACAGTATTAGTATTTTCTGAGTGGTTGGGCTCTTTTTCTTTGTTATTCAGTCCATTATAACTAAATTGCATTAATATTTCAGGTATTGCTCACCGGAATAGACCACGCCTCAACAGAAACAGAATGAACCAAAATGCATCCAGCAATTATGCTTCAACAACATTTACAGTTGTAAATGATCGTGTTTACCCTCCACCAGAGCCCCCTTTCCAGATGTCTAAAGATCCTCCCAGAAGACCCATCAAACATAATATAATCTCCAATAGGGATCCAAGAGCTAGAATGTCAATGCCCATGACAAATGTAACTCCAGAAAACTTGCGATCCATGCCAGAACCTCGATCCATGCCAGAACCCCATAGGCAAATATTGGATCCCAAAGTACAAAAAGAAATAGCGATGCTTCAGGGGAAAGAGGAGGTGTCATTAAATAATGGTCCCGGGCCAGGAGTAAAGGGGTTCAGACACATCCCCAGCCAGACTACTCGATCCCTCAATGAACGCTTTACTGAAGAGCGAATGGTAACCGCTTAACATATAACTCTCTGTCGTTTTAATAAATATGCTTCATTTATGAGAGTAAAAGTTCACTGTGTTGACTTTAAGCTTTTATGCTCATTTGTTTGCTTGGTAGCTCTGTTGTTGGTGAAATAAATTTTATAAATAGAAACTTTTTTAAGTTAAAATGCAAGTTTTTGTGCACTTCGGTGTTAACTTGTCAATCTTATTTATTGTCTTCATTGGTAATATATTTCTATCCTACTAATACATCTGTATGCCCTTTAATGTATACATGGTTTCAGTTGTTCTGTACATTATATTAAATGTAAATTTATGATATTTATCAATAAGCTTTATGATTTACACAAGAGTATATTTCAGCATGACAATCTGTGTCTTTTAAGCTCATGTACTGCACAGAATTATTTTTGTGTTCTATTCATACAATGGTAAAATGTATTTTATGTCCCTCAATAATATCCTCTAATCATTAGAGTAATTTTTTGTGTGGAATTACAGCCAACTACTGGCCAAAATGTATTAATTGTCAAGTTATGAACCTATTGATGGCAGATCTCTCATATACTGTACCATGCATGAGGCAGTCTGCCATGAATTTAAGATAAACATTCTACTTTGTTTAGTCAGTCATGGGCACTCAATTTTTTCCCACTCTTGCAAGACTTTTCTTGCCTTGGTGCAAAGTGGCCAGAATAAAGAGCCTCGGAGATATCCTCTCATATGCTATCTTTCATTAATTTTAACTGACATTTATTTGATTAGGTGTTAAGTTTTGTTGTTTAATAATTTATTGCATTTGTAAGACATTTGCAATGCACCAGTTATATGATTCAGACATGAGTTTGGATGTAAGGAGGGGGGCCCCCAAATTCGCTGGGGTTTGATTCTCAAAATGGCCGCAAATCGGCAAATAACATTTGCGGACCCAGGGGGGGAGGGGGGTACATTTTTACTTGTGTACAAAGAAATGGATATTCCCTTTATGGGTTTGATCTTAGGAAAATTATTTCTTTTACCTGTATTGTATATGTGTGTGTGTGTAGACACAAACACACACACACACACACACACACACACAATCAAGGGAAATACTCTCACAAATAATCAGAAACAAATTTATTAAAAATGTGAGTCTACCCTTAAGTTCATGCTTTATTAATAAAGTCATAAAGCATGGACTTGAGGGTAGACTCACATTTTTAATAAATTTGTTTCTGATTATTTGTGAGAGGATTTTTCAGTTATTTTTTTGTATGTGTTTTGTGTGTGTGTGTCTACACACATATATTTACAATACAGGTAAAGAAAATTACTGTCTCTAGAACAAATGGCTCCCTGTCCCAGCCGCAAAACTGCCGGCAACTTTTAAACTACCCACAGACATTCTTGGGTACATCCAGAGTGTCATCTACAAATAATAGAGGATCGCGAAAAAAAAGTCCGTGAACTTGGGGGGCCTTCTGTACATTTTATTAAAATTAGTATAATGTATACAATAGGAGTTTTAATAACAAGTTTGATAAGGATACCTAACTAACAAATGTTTAGTGCAGGACTGTGTTGTGCAAGGTTGCAAGTTAGTCATTTTAAGATTATCTGTGCCAGATATTATGAGTTTTGAGAGCACCTGAGCCAAAGTGTAGATGTTATTTTTACATTAAAAGGAATGGACCTTTCATAAGGATTTTCATTTACAACATCTCTCAATTCATAATTTGTGTATTACTGTATTACATTTCAGTGACTTAAACACTGAACTGAAGTACCTGTACCATTAGACTACACCTGACATCCTACATTAGCAAGGCAATTAAGGTGAAGGGAGAGACGTGATCAAACATTTTCTTGATTAGCATGTTTGTACAATGGTACCTAATTACCCTCTCAAAGACACATGTTTACACTTACCAATACTTATACATTTGGTTAATTAGATGCAGAAAACCCTTCATGGATGAAATGAGAAGTAAGTACAGTACAGGGGCAATAGGATTACAGACTGGGAGAGAATGGGTGAGATATGGTGAAATAGACATCACAACACAGGAGGAAGAAATGTGAGAAAACTTCTAAAGTATAAGTTTGAAGCATAAGTCATGAAGTATAGTGATGTGGTAAATAAAAGTGAGGGAGATAGCATGCTGGAATTAAAGTTAAAAATGTTTATGGTTCATGGAAAAGGGACCAGTACAGTATCAGAGGATTGTGGACAAAGGCTAAGGTGAGTTATATGAACGAGTGTACTGTAACAATTAAAGAGGAACAAGTCTATTTGAGTCTAATTGGAAATGTAGAATGCTACTTATAGTGAAGAGTCTCACAGAGACACTTACAGGCAGGAATCTAGATGTTAGAACCACTTAAAGAGGCCAGAGCAGATGATATATTGGTCACACATACTTTGCCACACTTAAGGTTTAAGAACATAGGAAAATAAGGAGTCTGCAATAGGCCGGTTGGCCTGTGTATGGCAGCTCCTGTTGAGAGTTACTACCACTCTCTATCATCCATGAATCTATCTAGCCTCCTTTTGAAACTTTCGAGAGTTCCCGCACTCACTACAAAGTTGCTAAGCTTGTTCCACTCGTCCACCACCCTATTTGTGAACTAGTTTCTTCCTATCTCCCTCCTAAACCTAAACTTATCCTACTTGAATCCGTTGCTCCGAGTCCTATCCTGCTCGTATTATAAGAACTTTATCTATATCCCCTTTATTGATTCCTTTCACCCACTTAAATACTTTTATCATATCTCCCCGCACTCTTCGTCTTTCTAGGGAATGCAAGTTAAGTTTCTTTAACCTATCCTGATATGGAAGGTTTCTAAGTCCCGGAATCATTTTTGTCATTCTTCGCTGCACCGACTCTAGTGAATTTATATCCATTCTATAATAGGGGCACCAGAACTGAACCGCATAATCGAGGTGTGGCCTGACTAGCGCAAGATATAGTTGCAATAAGACCTCTGCACTCTTGTTACTTACACTTCTAGATATAAAACCCAATACTCTGTTTGCCTTATTTCGAACATTAACGCACTGTTTTCTAGGCCGTAGGTCCGGGCTTACAAGTACCCCTAGGTCTCTTTCACAAGTCGACTTCTCTAGGTTGATGTTGTTAAGGCTGTATACATTATCAGTATTTGTTCTTCCAATATTAAGTACGCTGCACTTGCTGGTGTTGAATTTCATTTGCCATTTTTCAGACCACCCCTGCAGTTTATTTAGATCCTCCTGTAATGCATTTGCATCCTGCCCTGAATTAATCTGCCGCCCTATTTTGGTGTCATCCGCAAACTTGCTTATGTCACTGCTGATCCCAGTATCTAGATCGTTTATGTAGATTATGAACAAGAGTGGGCCTAGTACTGACCCCTGGGGAACCCCACTGGTTACACGGCCCCACTCAGATTTAACACCATCTACGCTGACCCTCTGCGTTCTATCGGTGAGCCATGATTTTATCCAATTTAAAACTTTCCCCTCGATACCATGAGCCTTAATTTTTCTCAGAAGCCTCTGATGCGGCACTGTCAAATACTTTGCTAAAGTCTAAGTAAATAACATCGTAATTTTCGTTATTACCTACTACCTCGAAGACTTTCCTAAAAAACGTCAGCAGATTTGTTAGACAAGATTTTCCCTTTGTAAACCCATGTTGAGAGTCGTAGATTAATTTGCTTTTCTCTAGATGCGATTGGATGCTATCTGCTATAATTGATTCAAGAAATTTCCCCACTACTGACGTCAAACTGATCGGCCGGTAATTTGACGCTGATGCTCTGTCTCCCTTTTTGAATATGGGTACTACATTTGCCTGTTTCCACAAGTCTGGCACAACTCCCGTGTCTAATGATTTTGTAAATAAGTTTACGAGGGGTCCGCTAATCTGTTCCCTACACTCTTTCAAGACTCGAGGGAAAATTTTATCCGGCCCTGGGGATTTTGTTTTCTTTAGTTTATTTATCTTCTTAAGAACATCCTCTTTTCTGATAGTGATATTCTTTAATTTCTCTTCTTCCTTTCCCTTAAATATCAGTTCCACCTCTGGAATTTCATGGCAAATTTCTTCTGTGAAAACTGATAAGAAGTAGCTGTTCAATGCGTTGCTTATTTCTTCACTGCTATTTATCACTTCTCCCCTCCCTGACTTTAAAGGCCCAACTTTGTCCTTGACCTTTGTCCTATATACCTGGAAAAATCCCTTGGGATTTGCCTTGGATTCTCTTGCTATTGTGATTTCATAGTCTCTCTTTGCTTTCCTTACATTTTTCTTAACATTCCTAGATAGTTCATTATACCTATTTATGAGCTGCTCCTCCCCTCCCTTTAATTTTTTATATATTCCTTTCTTTATTCCTATGTCATGTTTAAGTTTTCTGGTCATCCACCTTGACTCATTCTTATTTGACCTAATTTTTCTGTATGGTATATTTTGTTCTTGTGCAGATTTTGTGGAACACTTACTTGTCTCTGGCAAATTTATTGTGTGCATCAACTTTCAGATCACTTGTGTCCATTTAAATGGTGTTAGTGGCAGTAACCCTTGTCATGTAATGTCATAACTCATGTAATATGGTGTGTTACAGGGAGAGTTAATACTGTATAATATGGTGTGTTACAGGGATAGTTACTGTACTGTGGAAATAACATTCTCAGAAAAACTTCAAGAAAACTGGAGTTACATATTACAGTTTTTGTGGTGTTGATACTGCTGTTAGATGATTTACTGTATAATATAACAGTATAATACAGTCTTGTAAAATATTGTAATTTTAATATTGCATGGTGATACTGGAGGATGTTGTAAGCAGTGTAGAGTGTTAAAAGAGGTTATAGGATGTAAAAGGGTGTTATAGTAATGTATAAGGTGTGTCTAGCAGGGGTTCCCAAGGGAGAAAATACAGAATTCCTTAATGGGTGTAATGGTCAGCATCCTCGCCTCGCAAGCGAGTGGACCCGGGTTCTATCACCGGGCAGGGTGAAACTATGGGCAAGTTTCTTTACGCCATTTGCTTCTGTCTACCCAGCAGTAATTGGGAACCTAGATGTTAATCGATTTGCAGAACGTGTTCCGGGGTAATGGTTAGCCAGTGCAGCTGGCAAGTTGTCTGGTCTTCTCTGACTGTTCCTTGACACTAGGTCATGCAACAAGTTAACTTAGGGTGTGGCTGTTGGCAACAGCTTCTACACCTTAAACAAATTCACGCCTAGGTGGCCCTTGGGCCCGCCATCCTCGTTACACGAGGGGCAACCATTATTATTATTATTATTATTATAGAGTGTATGGCATTATAGGGTGCAGATTGTAGAGTGTTATAGGGTACAGGGTGTAGAGTTAGAGGGCACAGGGTTATAGGACACAGGGTTATAGGATACAGGGTGATAGGGTAGTACAAGGTTATAGGGTGCAGGGATATGTGGTACAGGGTTATAGGGTGATAGTGGGTGATGGTGACCTTGCTTGTTTTTTAAGTCCGCTACCACAAAAAAAAAACTGTAGGGTGTGGTCCTAACAACCTTCTAGGGCCGTCTGACACACGAAAGAGGAGAAGGAAGAAGGAGGGGTAGGAAAAAGAAGTGGAGTAGGTGGTGGGTAAATTACATGTGTCACCCCTGAGTAATTAAATACTAATGAGGGCATATCCTGCTCCTTTTCTCTTTCTCTCTCTCTTTACCTCACTTTCTCCTGGAAAGTTCTAAATAACAAACAAGTAAGAGGAGGAACTAGATGGTAAAATAAGGAGAGAGAAGAATGTCACTGAGACGATATATTATCCTCCCCAAGTAGGATGACTGGAGGGAGTCCCAAGAATGGATGGTAGATAGTTAAAATGGAAGAGTTATGTAAGCAACTAATATGAGAAGGAATTGTTTGATGAGAGAAATTTGTCCATAATGGTAGTAGTGGTTCATTTACTACTGGTAATAATAATAATAATAATAATAATAATAATAATAATAATAATAATAATAATAAAAAACAACTAACAAATACGTATATAGTACTGTACTATACACGTACCGATATTAATAACGCAAGATCCATAATTAACATATAGTAACAATATACAGTACACAACTACCACAAAAATAAATTGTG